GTTTTTTACTGTGCGAAAATCCTAATCTTGTTCCAGGTGGAGACTTTGAAATAATATGCATGGATGAATTTATCGATAATCTTCTTCGTGAAGAACGTGTCTTTGATACAATATTACCTCGGCTTTCTAAACGTCATGTGCTGGAAGAGAACGACGAGTTACCGCCAAGAATTAGCGCGTTAGAAGATGATCTGGAAGACGATTTATCAGAGTGAACTCTTTCGTGAATAGCTTGATTATCAAATCACACTTGCGAGAAAGTTGTGTGTGGCGGGCAAATTACCATGGTCACCCACCGAACGAGTGACTAACTCGTGCAATGAACTATAATTAGTCTTGTAACTCAGTACAATAATCCCTCTAGCAAACTGCCACAAGAGATCAAGACCACGAACTTTCTTCTTTCCATCTTGGTTAGTTTAGTGTCATCTTTTTATGGCTAATGAGATGATGTCTGCATCGTCGACTTTTACGACTACACAGTGCCGGGAATGTCAAATACAAATAAATAAATTAATATCGCCATCAATTCTCATTTAATCCAATATGTCGAGGATTATTTGTGGCTCATCTCAAAAAGGTTTGTCGTATAATATTTTGAAAACGTAGTTTTGTCTGGTGTTGTTAATTTTCTCTTACAGTGTACTAAAGAATACATACATAAATACTTTATATATGTATCTCCGTGCAATCACCAAATCTGTGTAATTCTCGCGGATGGCAAACTGTGTAGGGAATTCACCCTTTCTCCAAATATTATTGGATAGCTTTGGCATCAAAGTAGTTTGGGGGTGATCATGTATATTATCATTGAAGCTGTCATCTCTATAATACTATTGTGCTTTAGCATTTCTCAGCACACATTGCTAACTCCATCAACATCGCAAATACACAAGTCATGTCATCAACTTTCTTAATTTCTCATTAACCCTTGATTTGGGCAAGTATCGAGCAAATAATCGTGCGCATCACCTGTGGCCTTTTTGGCTATTTGTCAAGCGCTTAACCCACAAATTAAGATTTATCACTTGCTCCATAAAATATCTTCTTCGTGAAATCGAAATAAGCCTTCTTGCGTGTCGGTACATTAAAACATATTAGCATGCTGAAGTGGGGCAGGGATCCGTGGCCTTAGTTTGGAGCATTGGCCAGCCATCATGACCGCTCCACCAATTTTGCCATAACGATAAAGCTTATTTGGGGAACTGAACCGACAGTA